CACTCCAGTCTGGGCAACAGAGTGAGACTCCAACTAAAAAAATAAATAAATAAAATAAAATCGTTTACCAAGTATTCAAGCAAAGCAGATACTACTGCCACAATTTCACAAAAAGAGGGCATTCTGACTTCAAACCACTTGCCCAGAACCATCCAACCGGATTTAGCCACAGTGGAATTAGTTTGATTTGAAGATATTAATGGGGATGTTAGAATAATTTAAGTGGGCCTGGCAGCTCAGCCTGTAATCTCAGCACTTTGGGAGGCAGAGGCGAGTGGATTGCCTGAGCCTGCAGGTTCAAGACCAGCCCAGGCAACTTGGCGAGACCTCATCTCTACAATAAAAAAAATTAGCCGGGCAAGGTAGTGTGCCCCTGTAGTTCTGACTGCTTGGAAGGCTGAGGTGGAAGGATCGCCAGATCCCAGCAGGTCGACACTGGGGTGGCCATGCACATGCCACTGCACTCCAGCCTGGGAGACAGAGTGAGATTCCAACTCAAAAATAATAATAATAATTATTGTTGTTATTATTATTAATAATAATAATAATAATTATTATTATTATTATTTAAGTGACCGAAGCTGAGTTCAATAGGCTAAATTTAGAGTTATAATTTGAAATATGAGGGACACATCTGCTTCTGAGGGAGAGTAGAGAAGGTGAGGAGAGAGTCAGATGGTGTCTGTAGAGACAACTGAAACTGGTTACATTTGGGGCAGTGTTAAGAGTTTTGCCATCTTTTTTTTTTTTTGAGTTGCAGTCTCACTCTGTCGCCCAGACTGGAGTGCAGTGGCTGCTCCCAGCCACCACAGCCTCAACCTGCTGGGCTCCAGTGAGCCTTCCGCCTCAGCCTTCCAAGTAGCTGGAACTACAGGCACGCGCTACCACACCCGGCTACTTTTTTGATTTGTTGTAGAGATGAGGTCTCACCAAGTTGCCCCGGCGGGTCTCAAACCTGCGGGCTCAGGCAATTCACTCACCTCAGCCTCCCAGGTGTGGGATTACAGACTGAGCCACCGAGCCCTGCTAGAGTTTTGCCAAACTTAAACCCTCTGTTCATCTTCACAGTTCTTGTGACTTAATGGTGTGAACTGGACCACTGAGAGAACCAGTGCTTGGGGTTTAGCATCATCTCAGTCAAGGTCCTTGTCACTCCATGGTTTCCCCGAGTTGTTACAGAAACCTCTGCTCGGCCCAGAGTCTTAGGTCTCTCCTCCCCTCCCTAGTCTGTTCTGCATTCTGTGCCCAGAAGAGCACTTGTGTTTAATCAAGTCATTCCTCTGCCGCCAAACCTGCTGCTGCCCTGCAATGTGCCCTTGATCATTTGCCTTTTTCTCTGAGGCTTCCTGATACTTTTCCCTGCTCTGCTCAGTCTAATGTTCTTGCCTCACCTGCTCTCCTTCTCCTTACCTGGAAGTCCTGCTCCCCTTTTCCCACTTAATGCTTCAAAACCCATCTCCAGTTCTTCCCTGTGAACCATCTCTTGATGATTTCAGCCTTCTCTAAAGCCCTACCACTTCAGTCAATGTTTAACAAGTACCGTACGGCTGGGCATGGTGACTCAAGCCTGTAATCCCAGCACTTTGGGAGGCCGAGGTGAGAGGATTGCCTGAGTCCGTGGGTTCGCGACTCAGCCGGGCAACTTGGCAAGACCTCGTCTCAACAATAAATTAAAAAAAAAAATTAGCTAGGCGTGGTAGCACGCACCTATAGTTCTGGCTATTTGGAAGGCTAAGGCGGAAGGATCACCAGAGCCCAGCAAGTTGAGGCTGCAGTGGCCAGGAGTGGCCACTGCACTCCAGTCTGGGCGACAGAGTGAGACTCCAACTCAAAAAAAAAAAAAAGAAATATGGAAGTCAGGGTTGGGTGTGGTGGCTCACACTTGTAATCCCAGCACTTTGTGTTGAGGCTGAGGCCAGAGGATTGCTTGAGCCAAGGAGTTCGAGACCAGCCTAGACAACATAGCCAGACCTCATCTCTTTTTTCTTCCACTTAAGATGCATGTTTTTTATTGAAGTTAAAATTTTTGTAACCTGACAATCAAGTAGACAAGAATGTTATGATCTGAAGAGACCTCGTTTCTTAGAAAGAAAAAAAATTAGCCAAGTATGGTGGTGCACACTTGTAGTCCCAGCTACTCAAGGGACTGATGTGGGAGGATCTCTTGAGCCCAGGAGTTTGAGGCTGAGGTGAGCCATGATTGTGCCACTGCATTCCAGCCCTGGGTGACAGAGTAAGATCCTAACTCAAAAACAACAAAAGAAATGGGGAAATCAGGACATGTGTGATGGCTTGCACCTGTAATCCCTGCAACTCGGAGGCTGAGGCAGGAGAATCACTTGAGCCCAGGAGTTCAAGCAGTGAGATATGATTGCACCACTGCACTTCAGCCTGGGCAACAAAATGAGAGTGAGACCTCTATCTCCACAAAAAGATAGAAATAGGGAAGTCAGGAAGGAGAAGTGATGCATTCATTTGTTTTTATACTCATTTCTGTACTAAATTTGCATTTATCATTATATACTACATTGTTTTAGGCACTGATTTTTTTCTTTTGTATTGAAGCAGAAGAGCATAGCCTCCTCGAAGGTAGAATCTGTGTCTTGTACTTTTTCTGTAGCCCCTCCAGAGCCTAGCATACTGTTTCCTTCTTTGTCTGTGGGTGTGTAACAAAGATTGGTGATTGGCTAAGTTTCTCCTTTGACTCAGGACCCTAGCATTGAAGGCTGACCCTTGACTCCCTTTCCAGCCCATGTTCTTGCCTCTGCTTCTTTCTAAGTCATCTGCTACATAGAGCTTATGTTCTCTGGAATGTCTGAGCCATGCTGGGTTCGCGCGGCCAGTGCTGCTGTTTCCATCCCAGCATGACATTTTCAGTCCCACGGGAGTCTAGGCGAAGCTGAAAATGAGAGCAAAAAATCTAGAAGCACAGAAGCTGAGGAGACTGAGGCTTTCAACCAAGACCGAAAATAGACAGAAACCATGAGTCAGAGCAGAGCCCGAGGGGCGGTTCTAGAAGGCAGGGTCTGCAGAGGAGACTCCAGTGTCGCCTCTGTGCCAGGCGAAGGAGGGTGTCGAGGGGGTGGAAGGCTGTGTGCATCTGCTGGGGAGCAGTGGGCACACGGAGAGGTTCAGTCGCCCCGAATCATCCCCAGAGGCTCTTCCAGTTCCCGTGGGCGACTGAGTCTGCTTTCTAGAAGAGATAACTCGGAAGTGGGACTATCAGAAGTGGGACAGACCAGTGCACAAAACGGGCTGTTTTGCCCAGGTATGGGCAGAGAGCTCCCTGCAGATCTGCAGTGGAAAGGTCTGTCGAGGTGAAACTGGGTTTCTGGAGGAGTTCATGTGAGTGAAAAGTAGGTGGGAGTGTTCTTGGAAATAGAAAGGCTGGCGGAACTGTCACAGGTCTGGGATGAATACACTGTGTGGTGAATGCCCATTGCTTCTGGGAGAGGTAAATGGGGGGACCTTATTTTACTTTTATTTGGAAGATGTCTTTTCCCGTTGCAGACAGCGGGTGTGAGTGGGCTAATTTCCTTCTGTCACAAGGTATATGACTGTTCCCCAAATGATAATAGCATTAGGGGACGGGCATGGCTTCTCAGACCACCTTATTTTTGTATCCTGCTGCCTTTTGGTGTCATGTCACAACTTTAAGCATCTCAAATATTAATACTAGGGGTTAGTAACAAAGCCATGCTAACACCTGAGACGGTTTCAGACACCAGCTGCTGGAAGAGACTTAGCGTTTCTCTGGAAGGTGACAGCTAGGTCACTGTGGCAATCAATGCAGGATTGCCAGCACTGCTTTCCAAATGGTCACCCTTGATTAAATTAAGCTCCCTTCAAGCTTGTCACTTTGAAGGGCCTGATAATTTTATTTCAAGATTGAGGAGAAACACCTTTTCCTCTAAACCTGAACCCAAACCATCAGAAGCTTCCCCTTGCAGCAGAGCAGAAACTCTGGCAGGCAGTGGCAGGCAGGCCCCGTCCTAACCTGCGAAGTAGTGTGCGCCTGGCACTGTGGGTCTTTTTTCTGCTCACAGTAGGTGTCTGCTCAGAGCCCCGGAGCCTTGTTCCCAGTGAAGGGGCTGGAGTTCCCGTTAGGATTTGGTCATTCAGCTGGTGATTTTTTTTGAGGATTCACCAGGTTGTGCAGGCTGCTCTCAAACACATGGGCTCAGGTAATTCTTTCACCTCAGACTCCCTAAGTGCTGGGATTATAGGCGTGAGCCACCGTGCTGGCCAGCTGATGTGTTTTTTTTGAGTTGGAGTCTCACTCTGTTGCCCAGACTGGAGTGCAGTGGCCGCTCCCGGCCACCGCAGCCTCGAACTGCTGGGCTCCGGCGATCCTTCCGCCTCAGCCTTCCAAGTAGCTGGAATTACAGGCATGCGCTACCACGCCTGGCG